TAAAATATCGAACCCGCTGGAATAAAAAGAACCACGCATGGGCGACCAAGATTCCGGCGAGGATCGCAGCATCCACGCCGACGAAGCACGTCGATGGCCTCTTCGCTGCAGCAGTCATGGCGAGGCCCGCGCGGAGATGGTCCTCTCCATGCGATTCCGCACTAACACGATGGGGCTGGACCACATGCTGCTGCCAGCGATGGACGCTCGCCAGCGCGGCAGAGGCAAGTGATGGTGCGACCACCAGGATTCGGTCAGTCTCTGCATGACAAGGCAATGGATGCCACAGCTATAGACTACAATTGACAACAGCATTTACATACGCTACATGCACACGACGAGGGCGAGACGACCGGCTATCCATCACGCGACCGCAGGCAGGAGCTGGCTCTTGGAGAGCCGCTTGACGCTGAGCACGCGGTGCGCCTTGGCCGTCCACGACGACTTGCGCTTGAGCGCTGGCGTGTATCTCGGATCCGCCTCGTCGTCGTCGTCGTCGTCGGATGCGACGCTCGTGGTCATGCTCATCTCGGCTTCGTCCGACGCGATGCGCTTGAGAACCAGTACCGGCGCGGGCTCTTCCATGATGGTCGCGAGCGTGCCGCACTGGATGACGCAGGCCCTTTCGCGTCGCGGCAGTTGGTGCTGCGGGACTGTCTTCTGCACGTGGTACATGTTGTGGTGGAGCACGTGGAGGCGGCTGCCGAGGAAGCCCTTGAAGATCGCGAACCCCATGTAGCTCACGTCGTGGTGCAAAAAGTACTCGGGGTCCAACAAAATGTCGTGGACGGCGCGGATGAACGCGAGGAACGCGGCCTCGCGGGCTCGGAGCGTCGCCTTGCGGGGAAACGCCTGCTTCTTGGGGAAGGGCAGGCCCATCATGCGGTTGAAGGCCTTGGGCACGACCTCGACGAAGCCTTGGAAATGGCACAGCAGCTTCTCTCGGAAGAGGGCAAAGTCCGAGTAGCGCCGGTAGACGACCCAGGACCGGCCCGAGATGGCGTTCTGCGACTGCACGGCGTAGCACGTGCTCTGCTCGTGTGCGATCTCGGCAACTTGGACGCGGCAGATGGAGAGCGCGAACGGGTCCATCGCCGCCTCGAGGCCGCCGCGGGTGATGACCTTGGTGCCGAGCACGCCGCGCGTCTTGATCATGCTGGCGAAATCACCAATGAAGCTCGGCCCTACTCGTGGCCACGGGAGAGGCGGTGTCGCAGCAGGTGCTGGATGTCTGGGATATATATCGCTCTGCGAATTTGTATCGCGCTGCCATCCGGGTGACAGTGGTGCCAGGCCTCTGCACCAGACCGAGGCCATGATGGCGAGGTGCTAGTATAGCAGCGGCGACGCAATCAACGTCTACGCAGCCATCGCAAGCACTGGGACCCCGCGCTGGATCGCCCTGCGCTCCTTACACTGTACTTGCACCGATATATATTTTGCTGGCGGGTTCCAAGCGCGAGCCGGCTGCGAAGTTCGGCCGCGGAGATCGAGTGGGATCAGCACGACGTGCAAATGTACTGACAACAAACTGAACAAGCTGAAGAAGATCACAAGGCATCAGTCCAAGCTTCTGCAATGCTATGAGTCCATGAGGGAGGGCTCGTTGTACGCAGTCCAGGCCGTGCGCGATTCGGTGCGACCTAAATAACCAAGTGACTAAATGACTAAGCGACGCATTTCTAGTGGCAAGAGGTGAGATGCACGCACCACGCCACGTCGCGCGTAAAAGGGCCCACGCCGTGACGCTCTTGTCGGAAGAACCGTGGACGCAGCTGGCAGGATGGACACTAGAAACACGTCCCTTATGCCGCCAACCTCGAAAGACAATCGGATTTCAAGTCACCTTCACTCGATTCACTACGGGTGTTTAAATGTAAAAGGACTTGGGTGGCTTTAGTAAGCGTCGATGGAAAGTGGCGCCGCAACCCCCCGATATGATGAGCTGGTGGTTGACCTACGTATGCATTGTAACAGGTAGTTGCGTTTTAAAAGACATAGAAATCATATATAGCGGGTCGATTCTACATAACCTAAAATATGTGAAACAGCCGGGTATCGTGTATGATAGGT